TTTAAGGTTTGAAGGTTGGAATGTTTGAATTTTATGAGTGATTCGAAGGTTGGAATGTTTGAGGTTTATTGATTGTATGAAGGTTTGAATGCTGTAAGGTTTGAAGGTTGGAATGTTTGAACTTTATGAGTGATTCGAAAGTTTATATGTTTGATTGTTTGAAGGTTTGATTGTAAGAACGTTTGAAGGTTGGAAGATTTGACAGATTAAGTGAATGAATGTTATGATAAACGTAAGACTAAAAATTTCAATTAAGTAAGGATGCAACCCCCAAGGCTGCCAATAGTGTTACATGCAAGGCATCCCAAAGGTTGTTACATAGCATGAGTCTAGCCTGCAACAAAGGACACCTCTTATTCGCCAATTGGGGTGGCGACACCATTCATTTTTGTACTCTTTCGCCAAGTCCAATGGCGCCTCCCTTATTGTCCAATCGTGATACATGCATGCAGATATGTAACCCCCTAGGCTGCCACCTAGCCTGCGCCTACTCTGCACCTATACTGTATGTTGTAAGTCTCCTCCCATCACCTCTAATGGGCTTACATGCATTCAAGCAAGGAATCCCAAAGGCTGTCACGTAGCCTGAGCCTAGCCTGCAACAAAAGACACCTCTTATTCGCCAATTGGGGTGGCGACACCATTCATTTTTGTACTCTTTCGCCAAGTCCAATGGCGCCTCCCTTACTGTCCAATCGTGATACATGCATGCAGATATGTAACCCCCTAGGCTTCCACCTAGCCTGCGCCTACTCTACACCTATATTGTATGTTGTAAGTCTCCTCCCATCACCTCCAATGGGCTTACATGCATTCAGGCAAGGAATCCCAAAGGCTGTCACGTAGCCTGAGCCTAGCCTGCAACAAAGGACACCTCTTATTCGCCAATTGGGGTGGCGACATCATTCATTTTTGTACTCTTTCGCCAAGTCCAATGGCGCCTCCCTTACTGTCCAATCGTGATGCATGCATGTCGATATGTAACTCCCTAGGCTGCCACCTAGCCTGCGCCTACTCTGCACCTATACTGTATGTTGTAAGTCTCCTCCCATCACCTCCAATGGGCTTACATGCATTCAGGCAAGGAATCCCAAAGGCTGTCACGTAGCTTGAGCCTAGCCTGCAACAAAGGACACCTCTTATTCGCCAATTGGGGTGGCGACACCATTCATTTTTGTACTCTTTCGCCAAGTCCAATGGCGCCTCCCTTACTGTCCAATCGTGATACATCCTTAGGCTGCCACCTAGCCTGCAAGAGTGACACCTTTCATTTTTTGTACATGCATGCATGCATATATGTAACCCCCTAGGCTGCCACCTAGCCTGCAAGAGTGACACTTCGCATGCATGCAAGCACCAGCAACCACTATATGAAATTTATTTGCCTATAAATACATACCATATCATACATCTCTCACACCCACACAAGTCTCACTCTCTGCTACGAAATCTTTCATAATCTCTTACACTTTCTAAGTCTTTCATACTCTCTATCTCTTCCTAAGTCTTTCATAATCTCAAGCATTTTAAACAATGGCTCTTCTAACAATGGGCGATACTCACAGAGGCACAAGGGAAAACATTGCCGCATTTGTAAGTTTCTATTTTGGTTATACATTTTTCATACTTCAGATAATGCGTTGTTCGTCTTACTTAATCTTACACATGTCACATTATGAACTCAGGACACAAAAAGATTCAGAATCCGTTCTCACAACTACCTGGCTCCCGACCCATTTATCGTACCATATCTGGAATACGCAGGTTTTGGACATGTCATAAAGATCTCCAACTGCACCATTGACTCGAAGTTCATTCTTGCAATGTTGGAAAGGTGGAGACCAGAGACCTATACATTTCACCTACCAATAGGTGAATGTACCATCACGCTAGAGGATGTGTACATGCTACTAGGTCTCTCTGTCGACGGTAAGGCCGTGAACGGGTCAGTTCAACAACCCAACTCTCAGTGTGAAGAACTGTTGGGCAGAGATATGGTAGAAGGTGGTGGTGCGAGAGGTCAGGGAATACTACTCACTGAGCTGAAAAGTCATTATGCAAGTTTGGAATTAAACGAAAATTCCTCCGAGAATGACAGGGTAGTAAAAGCCAGAACTTATCTTATGATACTATTTGGTACCTTTTTATTTCCCGAAAGTACGGGAAATAGTGTAAATTTTATGTATTTACATTTACTAAGAAATTTTGAAAAAACAAGAAAATATAGTTGGGGTTCTGCAGTTTTAGCCCACCTATACAGTTCCTTGTGCAAAAATGCAGTCAAAGAAAAATGTACATTTTATGGGTGCGCTTTTTTACTACAAGCCTAGGGTTGGTGGAAGATGGAGTCCTTAAACCCCGTCAACAACAACACTTTCGATTTCCCGTACGCAACAAAGTAAGTCATCAAGTTATAGCATTTATTACTATTAATCTCTTCCCCAAATATATGCTAAGAATAAAATGTTTTTCATTTCCTTTAGGTACTGCGTGAGGGGTATGGATTACGGCAAGAATCCAAGATTCAATGTCGCACTATACCGCAATCTGTTGGATCACGTAGGCCCGGATGACGTACGTCGTAGCTTTTAACTTTTCTTCATTTAAATTATGTATACATTACTTTTGCGTTAACCTGATTTAAATTTTATCGCAGTTCATCTGGAGACCATATTTGGATTTGGGCCATGATCCAAACCCGGAGGATGCAGCAACTTGGACCGCGAAGACTGCAATCATTCGGTTCAACATTGTGGAGATGCACCACAACGACCGTGTGAAGATGCAGTTCGGAATGCATCAAGAGATACCAAGTGATCCAACTTGTTTGTCCCCATGACATCTTAAAAGGGTCGACGCCCAGTGGGGTCTTACCAACTGGAAAGACTTCGCTCCGGAATGGTGTAATATGTGGCAGAGGCGTCACCGCTATGTCTTGCAATTCCCAGTTTTCCTTAATCAAGGTAATATGCGACACACAGATCAATATTTGTCTTGGTACAGGTCGGTTAGTAACCCTGAAATGCACGTGTCTCATCCAAGGTACTTGGTAGACCCACGCACACAATGGGCACAACCCTCGTTTCCCCAACAACAAACCCAAAACCCATCAACCTCCCACCAACCCCTAAGAAGAAACAGACCCACAAACACCCAACCACAGTCCCCATCACAACACAATTACACTCAAATGCCACACAACCAACCACAATCACCACCACACTACCAATACCCCGATATGCCTCACACCCAACCACAATACCAATTCCAATACCAGCACACCCGCATACCCCACACACAATTTCAGTCTTCCGTATATCCCAATATGGGCCCCTCAACATCCAGCCTTATCCCTGATATGGGAATGTCGGAAGATTACGAACAAACCGACTCAGCCTACCATCAACCACAATATCACCAAACCACCCAACATCCTCAATACCAAACACCCCAAGATCCATTTCCTTTCTACCCACCGTACTCAGACGACCAATGTTACAGACCCACTATGGAACCCCACCCACCGCCAACACGACCAAACTTTGAGGGTATGGGTAACCGACTGTACCAAAGCAGATCTTCTAGATATGGAGATCTGATTGATTTTATGGATTCAGACCGCATTGACTTCGCTGGGCCATCGACCTTGCCGCAGCAGGAAACGCGACGACACCCAGCACGAGAAAGGCGAGGACGGGGATGCGGAACCGGGGGACATTACCGGGTTTCGGGGGATCACTGATTTATCTGGTTTTTTTCCTGTATTTTTTTATCTGTTTTTTTTATTTGTTTTTTTTAATCTGTTATTTTAATGTAATACAGTTGGATGTAATTATTATTTTTAAAATAAAAAGTCCATTTTGTTGATCCTGTATCCAACACGCAACGCACCGGACAAAAAAAATAATTATATTTTGCCCTAAAATAACACCTAGGCGCCATCTCACTTGGCTTAGGGCATGCCCTAAGCACATAGGCGCCAAGTGAGATGGCGCCTCCCCTTAAAAAATGGGTGCATGCGCCAATTCAGATGGCTCCTCCTTTGGGGAGTCATCTGAAACATGGTTATTTGCGTAATTTTTTCCGAAACGCAGTTATTTGCGAATTTTTTTTAATACATAGTTATTAATAAAAAAAAATCGATATTTTATTGATAACAATCTATGAAAAAAATTTGACATTTAAAAATAAGTATTTTATAACTCAAATAATAAAAATTATTAATTAAAATAAAATATATTTTTTTTTATAGTAATTCGTGAGATTAAAAATTAATTGTGTGTATAACTATTTAGTATTATTTAATTTTATAAAATAAATCTTTAATTTTATTAAAGTTTCGTATAGATTAATTAATATGTCATAAAAGCAAAACTAAATATCAATATTATACACATTATACATTAATAAATATTTAATATGATATTTATATATTATAATATACATTTTAATATATTAAAAATAATTAAGAAAAAATAAAATGATTAAATAGAAAAGATAAATAATGAAATAAAAAGAAAAAAATATAAAAGAAAAATAAATTTAATTTGAAAGAAGAATTAAATACAAAAGAAAAGAGTTGAAAGTGAAAGAAAAGATGTTAAATTAAAACTTTACACTTATAACATTTAATTGAAGTAAAGTGGATTAATTAAGAGATAATCTTTTATTATTTTACACTTTTGTAAATAAAAAATATTAGTGTGAAAGATATTATTAGTAGTTTGGTGATAATCAATTTGAAAAGATGTAAGTGATAATGTGGCAGCTTCATATCCGTTTAATTTCAACCCAAGTTTTTTAGAAAAATTCTCCCCCACATGACATCACACAAAGTTATGTGCTTTCTAAGTTCTATCATCATATCTATAAACTCTATATGTGATTCAGAAACAACAAACTGAACAATGCCAAGTTTTAGTGACACCAAACTATCCAAACCAATTCCTCACTAAAAACAAAACCTAGTAACTAAATTACACAGCGTGTTCTAATTTGTGATGAAGCAAAAAAATCTCAAAATTCTCATTACAACAACACTTACAGTGTTTATGATGCTATCATTCTTTTGTTGCACAAACGTTGCAATTAGCACAACCAACAACCTCAATCCACTGATCCTAATACCAGGTAACGGAGGAAACCAACTAGAAGCAAAACTAACCACACAATACAAACCTTCTACCTTAATCTGTGATCCATGGTACCCTCCTTTCAAGAAGAAAAATGGATGGTTCAGACTATGGTTTGATACATCCGTTTTACTTGCTCCTTTCACAAAATGTTTTGCTTCTCGCATGACTCTTTACTATGATAAACAACTTGATGATTACTTTAATGCCCCTGGAGTGCTCACACGTGTCCCTCGCTTTGGTTCTACCTATTCTCTTATGTATCTTGATCCTAGTCTCAAGTAAGCTTCTTTTCATAATCATTTTTTTATCCTTATCTATGTTCCATGCACTTTGTTTTAGGATTTTGTTTATGGGACAAGACAAGTCCTAGAATGTTTCAAGGATCTAACAATAATTTGTGTTACATTATTTATTATAATGTTTTTTACGTGTAGGGTTGTGACAGATTACATGGCACCTTTAGTTGAATCATTAGAACATCTTGGTTATATAGATGGTGAAAATTTGTTTGGAGCTCCTTATGATTTTCGATATGGTTTAGCAGCACCGGGCCATCCATCTCGAGTAGGTTCGAAATTCTTAAACGATTTGAAGAATTTGATTGAAGAAGCAGGTAATTCCAATGGAGGAAAACCAGTGATACTTGTTTCACATAGCTTAGGAGGCTTATATGTTCTCGAACTCCTGAATCGGAACCCGTCTTCTTGGCGAAATAAATTTGTTAAACATTTTGTAGCTCTTTCTGCTCCATGGGGTGGAACTGTTGATGAAATGTTTACTTTTGCATCGGGGAATTCTTTGGGGGTGCCATTGGTAAATCCTTTGTTAGTGAGAAATGAACAGAGAAGTTCTGAGAGTAATCTATGGCTTTTGCCTAATCCTAAGATGTTTGATGTTGATAAACCATTAGTTACTACTCCGAGTAGAAGCTATTCGGCTCATGATATGGTTGATTTTCTCAAAGATATTGGTTATCCTGAAGGAGTTTATCCTTATGAAACACGAATTTTGCCCTTGATAGCGAAGATAGAAGCACCAGAAGTGGATATAACTTGTATTGTTGGGGAGGGTGTGAGAACTCCTGAGGAATTGTTTTATAGAAACGGTGATTTTGATGAACCGCCAGAGTTTTTGTATGGTGATGGCGATGGAACTGTGAATATGGTGAGCTTGTTGGCACTTGAAAAATTATGGAAAGATGAGAAGAATCAGTATTTGAAAGTGATTAAGATTGGAGGGGTGTCTCATACTTCAATATTGAAAGATAAAGTTGCAGTTGATGAAATAATTGGTGAGATTAGTAGACTTAATTCTAATGTTCAACTTGGTTTGAGCAATACTTCTTTTGCTATAACTGATGTCAAATGATTGCAGACATGTGTATTTATACAGTATAGTACCACCAATGGTATGCCTATCGTCTGCAATTAAATTTTCTGTGGAATTTTGAAATTTGTATTGGCATGTACTTATTGATTGCTATGATGTGAATATATGAAGAAATGTTTTAACCATTGTGATGTTTTGAATACTGTTGTAAGTGTGAACTGTGGATCAACATTAATGATGACTGAGTTATTGAAAATATGCATTTTTGAGTTTCGATTACTATAGACTATGTTTGAATTGATGGAACACGACTGAACGGAATGGAATGAAATGAAATAATATTATGTTTTATTGTTTGGATTGGTAAAAAGAGGATGGAATAAAACAGAATACGATAGAATACATTTCATTCTATTCCATCCAATTCCTCATTTTTTGTTTCATCCAATTTATGGTGTATGAGATGGAATGAGACATTTTAAATAAAATAACCAAACAATGGAGTGAGATTTGTATTTGATCTTACCGGTGATCAGAACCTGTAGTGGACCGATATCTGCGTCTGTAAGGCTGAAATCACGGAGGAGTGGGGTGTACCTGTAAGACACTCTGACACTCAAGTAAATAAGAGTGCAAAGAGATACAAGAGAGAATATAGGGTTTTAGAAGTGAATATTGAATACCTGACCCTCACAAGTGTGAGAGTCTATATAATGCCTCCGGCGCTTGGCCATTGGTCCCTATTTTTGGGCCTGGATATTAGGCCCTCAAAAATAGGTGATTGTCAGAAGCAGGCAGAACGTGCGCGGCTTCTTGGAGAGAAGTGTTCGAAACTAGCCGTTATCAAGGGCAGGGATGGCCGGAACTAGTCGCTGTCATGAGCAAGGACGCAATTGTGGACAGATGTGGTCTTGTCGTCTTTGGGGCCACACAACCACGTGCCCAAAGCTGTTGGGAAGAGCCAAGCGCACCCCTCGCTAACTGTAATACGGTGGGAGAATTGACTTTTGGTTTTGCGTTTTATCGCAAATGTTGCGGATAGCAAGAGTCGCCACCGACTTTTCTTTTATCCAATAAAGAAAAGGGTGAAAAGAATAGGAAAGACCTTTGAGAAATTTTCTGAGTAAGGGGAGTAGGTTATGAAAAGGGAAGGTATTAACACCTTTTTCATCCGTACTTATCTACGGGCTCTTAATCGCTAGCTCACTTTGAAAATTCTTTGTGAATGTGTAAGTTTGAAATTATTTTGAAAATGCCTAAGTTCGACAATTTTGTAATGATTCTCGTATCAAATGAGACACATACAAAGTGTTTATTTTTTAAAATATTTCAGAAAAGTGTTTGTGTGAAAAATGTTTTTAAAATGTTCGCGAGCGCGATTAAGAACTATCTACCTACTCAAAAGTCTTTCGTGTTATTTTCCTCTTCCTTTAGATAATACTATTGTAATACGGTGGGAGAACTGACTTGGTGTTTTGCGTTTTGTCGTAATTGTTGCGGATAGCAAGAGTCGCCACTGACTTTTTTTTTATCCAATAAAAGAAAGGGTGAAAAGAACAGGAAAGACCTTTTGAGATATTTTCTTGAGTTCGGGGGGTAGGTTATGAAAAGGGAAGGTGTTAGCATCCTTTTCACCGTAGTTATCTACGAGCTCTTAGTTGCTAGCTCACTTTGAAAATGCTTTGTTTGAAATGTGTTTGCGATTGTTTTATGAAAGTATTTTTTAAAAAGTGCCTTCATTTAGACGAACTTTGTAATGATTCTCGTCTCTATAAGAATGCATACAAAGTACTTTTAAAATATTTCATTTAGAAAGTGTTGGTGTGTTTGAAAGATGTTATGAAAATGGTTGTGAGCAAGCAACTATGAGTGTTCTACCTACTCAAAAAGTCTTAGTTCTTTTCCTCCTCCTTTAGATATTGTTGTCTTACCATTGATTGGTGAGAAGCCTTATCATTGGATGTAAGGGGACAGGCGTGAGTCGTCGTATAGTGATAGAAAGCAATATTGTAAGATACCTGAGCAATTTTTGTAAGGGTCTAAGATCATTTATGAAGGAAACTTTGAAGGATCATTGAGGGACTATGATCTTGTATTTGATTGTTTTTTGCTAAAATATCCCACATGCAAGACATGACTATTTTTCTCAAGGCAACATGTGAGGTTAACCCTAGAGGTGCAAGTGTGCAAATTGTGTTTTGATTGCATGCATTTTTGTCTTGAGATTAGGGTTCTCTAAGATTGATTTTATCTTGCCATACACACCCTAATTACTAACAATTATATTAAAAGCGATAAATTGCGGAAATTAAAGTCCTACGCTATCACATCATTTAGGGGATGAGGATACAAATTATAAATGTGGATGAAAGCAATTAAAACCTAATTACTATTACAACCAAATTGAATAAAAATAAATAGCAAAAAAAAGTCTCAAAAATCAAGATTTTTGGTGTTTAGGCTGACACGGGCACCCGTGTCAGGACCCTGTCCTGCCATGCATGCCTTTTTTATCCTAGCTGAGCTGACACGGGCCGTGTCCCGTGACACGGGCACCCATATCAGAACCATGTCCTGTCATTTTGCCAAGTTTTAATCCCAATAAGAGGGACATGGGTCGTGTCTCGTGACACGGGCACTTGTGTCAGAACCTTGTCTTGTCATTTTTCCTGTTTTCTTCCTGGCACGGTCCGTGTCAGGTGACACGGCCGGCCGTGTCATACTTCCAGAAGCATTTTTTTTTTTGTAGTTTTGAGTGTTTATAACTCTTCTACTTTGATTTGTCTTGTTTTATTCTTTTGAAAACGAAAGTAAAATGATGTATGAACAAGGATATCAGAGTTTGAGAAAACTTACCTCTTGAAGTGAAAACTCGAAATGTGTATGGATGTTTCCAGGTGCAATGTGATGATTGATTGAGCTTCCTTAGACCTCCCTGAAGTTGTTTCAATCTTTACTTTATGCTGAAAGTGTTTGAATCTCTCCAACCAAGTCAACTTGCAAGACAATCTTTTTGAGTTTGGGAAGTGGAGATAATGATGTTACAGAAGTTTTTCTTGTGTTTGAACAACTTCTATATGATGTATGTGAAGTATTTGGATGGTTTGTTTGAGGAAAACTTGCAAGGTATGAGATTCAAAGATTTGGTATTCAAAGCTCAAAGATGGAGGTTTTATGAATAGTTCTAGTTTTTTGTGAGTGAAGGGATTTTGAGTGCAAGTTTCTCTTTCTCTTTTTTCTGGCCCCTTTCTCTTGCAAATACTCCCTCTATTTATAGACAAGAGGTTTGAGAACAAAGGCTGATTAGGTTTGCAAGGCAGCATGTTATGGTTTGGTTGGGATGCAAATATCAAACTATGTCAATTCTTCCATGGTCCCAAGATGAAGTACCAAAGTTGCTGGTATAGAGGGGCTAATTTCTATGATTTATGGTGGATTAAAATCAGAAGTAAACAAGGTATAGGCTCAAGACAAACTTTGTACCAAAAGGCTTGCTTTTCAAGAATAGCAATGGTGCCTTTATGCCATAAATGGAAAGATCTTTTGGATAATGGTTCAAACACTTGGGTAATAGCTCAAGAGTAGGTGTAAGCATTAAATTATGGTGAGATTTGCAAGTTAGAAGGCCTGCAACACAAGATTATGCAGCATAGCATAAGAATTTTGTTATCTGTTGTTCAATAAAAGGACTTGCAATTCAAGGGTGGATGCCCAACTTCAAGCCCTTGAATCTCCTAGCTCAAGTATGATAAATTCATGCTCTTGGATGTTTTGGAAAGCTTGAAACATCCTCTATAACTTTCATGTTGACCATTTTGACAAAATCATCTTGGAACTATGTGAAAAAATACCAAGAAGTTGGAATAAAATCCTGACCAAAATCTGTTGAAAATTTCTCTAAGTGTTAGATGAAAATGTCATAAATTCATGGGCTTATATATTTCAATCTAAGCATTTTTAGACATCATGGTGAAAAATTGGTATGAAGTTATGAAATAAACATCTATAAAACACTTAAAAAAATTTCTAAGTCTTGAAAAATTTGACTTTTCAAATTGACTTTTGACTTTCTTGACTTCTTGATGATCAAGCTTGATATTCTTGAATGTCTTGATGAATTTTGATCTTCGAAACTTAATGTTGACCAAAAAGTCAAAGTTTGACTTTTTCAGTGTATAATTGACTTTTTCATTAGTTGACCAAATTTCATCTATCAATCCGCTGATCTTGAGAAATGATTTAAGCCATGGAATTAGGTAAACATGTTATGTTTGAGTCTTTGAGATTATGCTTCTAGCCGTTAGGTCGTGTATTAAGTCAAAAAGTCAATGATCAGTCGTTCTTATTCAAAACTCTAATTTGGTCTCAGTGTTTTGGAGGTGATTTTGTCTGATCAATTCTTGAGAATCCTTGAGCATTAGAGATCCTTTGTGAAAGGTCTTGAGAAAAGAGATTGAAAATTTTGGGGTACAACAGTTGCCCCTGTTAATTCTTCTTAAACCTGAAGAGTTAGATTGGCGGGTCTGCCATTCATGACTTGAAGGTGGAAGATGATTGAACACTAGATTGCCCAAAAATTTGCACTCGATGATGTATTAGTTGATTGTATTGGGAATGGGCTTAAAGATTCCATTTGGATAAGTGATGAAGAGTTTGTCATAAATGGGCTTACATATGCCATCCAGAGTGACATAAGAGGTCTGTTGTTTGGAGAATTCACTGAGAAAATAATCCTAACTAGAAGAGGTCTGCTGTTTTTAATCCGGAAGAAATAAATCTATCCAGAAGAGGTCTTCGTTATCCTGTCTTTAATCTGGAAGAAATATACCTAACCAGGAGAGGTCTTTTGTTTTATTGATTGATATTTCCCGCAAAGAAAATGGTTAGTTGCATCCAGATGTATGCGTGGCGTAATGATGTTCTCAAAATAAATGAGATTATGTTGTATGCATTTGTCATATATGTGCTATGATGAACGGATTTTATTGAAATGTAACTTTGTCTAGGAAAATAAATCCTTGACAAATGTTGGGGAGTAA